CAATTCAAACTCTCCCACCTTATTCAGGCCTGGTCAACGGTGCTGACCAATCAGCACGGGCCTCGTTGCCTCTGGTCTGTCTCCCTCACATTCCACCTTCCAGAGCTACTGTCAGACTCATGCTTCTTCCGCATGCCTGCATAGACACCCCAAAGTAGCAGCACTGTGCGTTCTACATGCTCAGGACTGGGGCCCCAGTTCCTGCATGTAATAGGCACCATAGTGCTGCTGAATGAAAAAGTCTTATCACCGCCCTGCTCACAGAGGCAATCAATCAAATTCTCACCTGTATCACCAGACCACTCCCGCAAAACTTGTTTTAGATCTTATTTCTCCTTGTGGCATTTCCCTAGTTCAGTACAATCTTAAACCTCTCTTGGTCGCTCCATCTGTACATTCCTAAAATGTCTCCTATTTTAAGAGCTTGTTTGGAGGTTCTAGCAGGGGAGCACAGCTACTCGTGTACCCTCGACCGAGAAGAACGGTCCTCCTCTATCAGGGCTGGTCATCCTCTTCGACTGAGCGACCTAGCACGCGGCTTTGGGAGGGTCGCACATGGAGTGGTGAGGGAGCAAGGGGACACCCGCCTAGCCAGCAAGATCAGCTGAATCAACCATGGCGATCAACGGGGTGACAGATGTTGCAGCCAGATCGCCCTCACATCCAAATGTCTATTTTGAAAGCATCCAAATTCATACAATCTTTTCTCCCTAAGAATAACTTTTAGGATCTTAACATGCTTTAATAGTTTTTTACATTGTCTTGTTCTTAAATCACATGCATAATTAATACAGGGATTTCCTATTAGCCTTATGTTTTTGTATAACACTATCAACAGTCTACAGCCAACATATGCAATTTGGTATTGTCTATTAAAATTTAAACGTGCCTAACCCTATGATACAGCCGTTCCTTTTGCTGACATAAACACCACAAAAACCCTTGCACATATGTAGGAGATATCCTCAAGCGTCACCTAGTGTCAACAGGAAGTGGAAATGGTTTAAATGTCCATCAGTAGGAGATGACCGACTATACTGTGGCACAGTCAATTTCTGAAATACTAAACAGCCATTACAAAGAAATGGGAATCATAAAACGTTGTGTTTAAAAAGCTGAAATAAGTATATATTTTTATAGGTTAAAAAATAAGCATACAAGTGTATTACATCATCTTTTTTGGTGGGGTCTGGAGTCATAGGGAGTCACAGCTGAGAAGGGTTTTAGCTCTACTTGTAATGCATAGGTTTGCTAAAACTGCAGTAATGTATTACTCGGAAGTTTCAAATCAATAGTGAATATATAAAACCAAAATGTACAATATTAAAATACTAGGTTAAATCTATGTAGAGCAAATCTTACCTGTGCAAAAAACTTTCCTTTGCTAGCTGAATTTGTAACGTTCCACCTTTCCATTTTGTTTTATTTAAAACAGACATACCTATAAAACAAAGAATTAGTACCCGTGTACATGACAATGCAAAAATATATTTCAGCAAGTGCTTTTACTAATTAGTATCAAGAAAATCTGTTTATCACAAAGACACAGAGGAAACAGAATAAAGAAAAATGAGACCCAGAAAAAGAAGGCCTGGGTCCCATTCTCATTTTGACCACTTATGAGTGTCTTTACACTCCCTATCTTCCAGTGTAACTGGAATATGTGAATGAGGCAAACATATAAATCATAAAGCAAAATTTTTCATTTGTTTATAAAGTGATGTCAGGAACCTCCAGCAAATGGCTGGTATTTATTTAACATTTCACTGTTATTTCCTATACTAAAAGCGTAAAACATTAATGTAATTTTCTTAGGGTGAATCAGAGGATACTGGAATTGCGTAGCACCTCACTTTTGTCACCTTGTATTAACTATCCCTGTGTAACCTGCAAACATGTTGGCTGCAAGCAAAGAAACCATGCTTGAACTACTATGTACTATTAGTTGATTTCTCTCAGTATCTGTCATCAGCTTCCTTAATAATCACCACTAACAGAAATTTCTATGTGGTAGGTACTATCTTAAGTACAAAGGTATTACTCAATTTAATTTTCACAGTAATACTATGCAATAGTATGAAGCAAGCAAATTCTTGGTCATACATCAGATAAACCTACTGGGTCTTCTAGTGTAAATAAACTGCCAGGTCATGCAGTGGAACTGATGTGTTCTTAACTGCAACATGTCTGTCAAATCTATTTTCTAACTGAACAAATCATTTTTATTATTTTTCCTGTAAATGAAATTATAAAAGGCCAATGGCCCTTTTTCTCCATTAGCATGTTTCTTTCTCAGTGTCCTTTGACTTTTCAACCTCCAAATAACTAGAATGCCTTACATCAGTGACAGTATGAATTATCTCCCATTCTTTAGTCATTGAAGGCCACAGTTTGCCCTTAGCTTTTCTAAACTTTTCAATAGAGATCTCACAATTTCAAGGATATGATCTTATAAGGGCATACTCTAAAGTCCTCTCCTAACAGCATTTAATGACAAGAATTAGTTGCTGAGAAAAGAGCACACCGGAGAGGAAGGCATGGCATAATACCCAGTGGGATATGTGTAACTGGCAGTTTCTACTAAAATGTAGTCCCTTGTCCAAAATATTTTAGAATCCTGTTTTTGAGCAAACTAACTGGCAATGTATTAATGTTTGTCATTCGTTATGGGATGAATCTAAACCTGAACTGTAGGATACTGTAATTCTCTTGACTCTGATTGTCTCTCTTGATGACTTAAAGATGATTGTTTAGATTTAGAATCAAAGTTATTCCAAGTTACACAGTGACATGAACTGGTAAATAATACAGAAAATACTCATTACATTTTTTCAGGTCTGCTTCTGCTACTTTGATGTTGATATATGCAAAGACTTTCTGTGGGTTTCCTAAAAATAAAAAATGAAAAAGAAATTTATTTAAATTCTAACCCAGAGAACAATGTAAAACAATCACATTACAAAATTTTAAAAGAGCTCTTAGAAACATTCTTTCAAAGAAAAACCTTGTTTATTTTTCATTGGATACAAAGATTGCATTTTCTAAGTATGATTATCTAATATTCCAAAAGAAAATATGTAAGGAAAAAATGTAGCCAGTTAAGGAAACATTTTGATTATAGATAAGTGATTCTACTTAACAGGATACTTACTGAATATTAGAATTTTAGCTCTGAAAACTGAAAGCGACATGTTTCAGAAATCAGATGTTTAAGAATTTAGAATTTTTTTTCTTAATTTCAGAAGCATAATTCTGGGCAAGTTCCAGGTCATACATAACACCTCCGGGGCATAGGTGGGGATGGGGGGTTACTACAACAGTATCACGTAATGAAATAACATATCACTTTCAGTGCTCAGGGCTAACATTCATCTCTGGGGGTTCTGTTATTTTGTGGTACTTGACTTGAGTTATTTTTGCCTTTAATTAGCCATGAAGAACTATAAATTTACCTTTGTCATCTTTCCTAGTGATGATCTCCACATCAGAAACTTCTCCAAATCTGCTGAATTGATTTTGTAGGTCTGCCTCAGAAATGCTTTGGCCAAGGCCACCCACAAAAAGGCGCTTTATTTCTTTGTTGGCTTTCATCAAGGCTGGACAGACACTAAGTGTGTTCTGGAGGAAAAAATAATGTTCTATTTACAGAGAAGAGTTCTTTCCCTTAAATCTTCTCAAATCTTAAAAAACAAACGAACAAACAAAACCCCCCACAACTCCTTTCCCTGAACCTTCTATGCCCAATTGGTTGCCTGTACCTGTGTTTCACTTCTTATGCATTGCTTTCAAATTTTATCCCTGCAGACTGTTCATGCCCTAATTCCACGTTCTCCATGAGTGCGTTTTGGAACAGCAGCTCTGCACACAGACACACACACACACACACGTACAAGCGGGTACTTTCACTTTAAATGTTCACAATATTATACTCTACTCCTCCTCATTTTACTTATTCACATTGCTAAATGCTTTTCCTTTATTCATTCATACACTCATTTATGCACTTTAAACGCTGACAGACATGGGATGAGGCAGGCTAACACACTAAAGGATGAAAATGGTCTCCATCCCGGATCTCCTCACAGCCACATGAGAAGTAAGCAAATGCAGCAATTACAATATTATGTCACAACAAATTCAGTGAAATTCGCGAAAAAAAAAGGAGCAACTGATATCACAGCTAATACAGACTTTTTTTTTAAACCCTATGTACCAGGGTAATACGAAGTAGTTTGTAGGCATCTTGTTTCAGATTAGCAGGAGAGGTGAAGTCACTTTCCCAGTACCATTCAGAGAATTAGCGGTGAAGCCAGTACTAACCCAGAGCTAATTTCATAACCTGTAATTCTTAACACTATACGAGGGAGGTTGTTGCGTTAGAAGAGACTCAAAAACCCTTCCAGAGGTACTGAGATTTGATGCTCATCATGAGATCTCTAATCCCGTTCATCACCAGGCTGGCGCTCAGCTCCCAACCTTCCCCTCCCCCAAAGCTGACAGACTCCTCCCACGCACGACCCCAAAATAGCGCGCAGAAGCCCAGCGCATGGCTTCCGGTCTGGGCGTGAGCAGCGGCTTTCTTCCTGGTAGCCTCCTCCGCCCCCAACCTACCCACCCTAGCCTTCTTCCTCCGATAAAAATCAAAGAAGAGAAAGGAAAAGGTAGGCCAAATGCCCCACTCACAACCCATGCCCCAGACCCACCGCTCACCGATTAGTCTTCCACCGGAGCGCCGCTTACGGCCCTAACTTCTAGTCACGTGTCCCAACAAGTGTCGTCTCTTTTCCTTCCCACTCGATTTCCAACCCGGCATCTTAAGGTTCCACTACCACACTCAGGTCCCCAGTGCCCTTTATTCCCAGTCTTCTGGGAGACCGCGATGACTCCATCACCTTGCCTCAGCGTTCGCAAATGACCCCAAAGTAAAATTTCTTAATTCTTACTGGAGGGAGTTATCCGCTTGTCTTCTTCTGGAAAAGGCGGCGGAAGTGAGAGGGGAATTAAAATAAAGAGACTCACCCTTCACGTGTTCCCGGAACCTCCTCTTCTGTGACGTAAGCGTCCTGGTTGATCCATGGCGCCACCGGAGCGGGGTGGACAGCCGCGCCCCTGGGTTTCGGGTTGGAGGGACTCCACTCTCTTGAAGAATGGGGACTGCTGGGGGGCAGCTGTAGAAAAGTGCGCAGGCACGAAAACGGTCCCGCGATGCTGGCGAGCGCGGGCTATATGCGCGGGGATCGCGCGTGGTTCCCTTGCCTCCCCCGCCGAGCTCCGCGATGGTTCCCGCCAGCAGCGCGGGCGGCTTGAAGGTGTCTGAAGGGGCGCGCCGGCTAAAGGCAGCTTCCAGTCGGGGCCTCGCTATGGATTCTCTTCGTGCCGAGACCCGCGCCTTGGAAGCCGAAATCACGGCCTTGAGGCGGGCCTGCGTGGAGCTGCCGGATCCCGGGGTAGACACCACCCGAGTCCGGTACGTGGCCTTCCTCAGGCCTGGTGTGAAGGGTAAAAAAAATACCACTCCACTGTAGGGGCCCAGACGTCCCCACAGACCTTTCCAGACTACCAGACGTGGGCTGGAACCCTTTTTCTGTCTGTAACTGCAGTGCTGGGAGAGATGAGCCCACGCATGGGCCCGGTTGTAAACGCATTACCGTATGTTAACTGGTTTAATCGCAGTCATGGGAAAGATGTTTTCCTTGAAATTCTCTTTCTCTTGCTGATAACTGTCAAGGTGGAAGTTTTGCTTATCGCTTTAGCAGCCTTGCCTAAATTTAGTGGGTAGCAGTATAAAGTTGAGATTTAATAACTTTGGTTTCATGGTATTTGTTTCACCTAACTATGGCAAATGATGCTGATTTTTCGTTTACGGTAGTGATAAGAAATTTCCTTTGAGAAATAATTAGGTAAAAAGTAATTTGATAGAAAAATAGGTAATGTAGTCTATAGGAAAATTTGGCAAAAGTTGCGAAGGTGGTTGTCCATTGCCTGCAGATGGGGAAGCATCCTTGTAAGGGAAGGGGAGAAACTCCCTGTCTAAAGGAGAGTGGAACCGTGTGCACTAATAGAAATAAATTCTATCTGCCACAGAGCAGTGGCATCTTAACGTCTTTGACTTAACTAGTTATAGCCAGGGTCTGTCGATTGCTTGCTAAGTACCAGACTGAGAAATGCAAAGGTCTTTATGTGCATCGTTTTTTTTTTAATACCTATGACAAGCTGTTAACCCCGTTTTCAAGTTAAAGAAATTGAGGCTCAGAGAAGTTAAGTTGCTTGCCCAAGGTCTCAGGGAAAATAAGTGTCAGACCTGGATTGGAACCCAAGAATCAAACTTCAAAGTCCGCATACTTTGCTTAACTGAAAGAAGGAGGGAAAGAGCCTATAACAGTTAATTATGTACCTATTGTCTCAAACTTGCAAGCAGCTTGAAAGCAGAAACTGTCTTCAGATTTTAGTCAGTACTGACTTGACATAGATGTGGAGAGAATGAGATTTTCCTGAACTAACTGGAGAAGAGTTGGTAGAATTCGAGAAATTAAAGAAAGTGATGCATGTTGGATGGGATCATGAAGGTAGAGGAGGCTGGACTAGTAATAGGGAAAGGGAAGCAGGTGAACAGGGAACAAATATGTTCCTCCACAAGTGAAGGGGTAAATGTATTTTTGGAACCCGTGCTACTCCAGATGTTCTCCACTAACTGGAAGCATTAGTATCACTTAGGAGTTGACCAGAAATACAGATTTCAGCCTGACTATGACCTATTGAGTCAGAATCTGCTTTTTAACAAGACCTCGATAATCTTACGCACATTTGGAAGTTTGAGAAGCACTGTAACAAAAGATGATTTCTTTACGGGCTACAGTATGTCATTTTGAGCTCAGGATACTATGTAGACTATTCATTGGGCCTTGTCAGTGATCAAATTGAGAAAGTCGGGAAGAATCCAGATTATGGAAGATAATGTCAATCCAGGAACTTTGAATTTAACGTAAAGTTTCTTTTCACTGTGATGGAGAAGGAAGTGTAGGACCTGTGTACCAAGCTTTTTTTTTTTAATCACAATAAATTACATATAATATAAATATATTATTTTAGCAATTTTTAAGTGTACATGTAAGTGATATTACATTCATAATATTGTGCATCTATTACCTCCATCTTTTCCTGTAACTCTTTACATTTTGTAAAACTAGAACTCTATACCCATTAAACAATAATTCCCATTCCCCAACTCCTTTAGTCCCTGGCGATCACCATTCTATTTTCTGTCTTGATGAATTTGACTTCTCTAGGTACCTCATGTAAGTGGAATCATACATATTTATCTTTTTGTGACTGGCTCATTTCACTTAGCATAATATCCTTAAGGTTCATCTATATTATAGCACATTGCAGAATTTCCTTCCTTTTTCAGGCTGAGTAATATTTTCTTGTATACATATACCACATTTTACTTATCTGTTCATCTGTCAGTAGATATTTGCGTTGCTTCCATGTTTCAGCTATTGTGAGTAGTCCTGGTATGAACATGGGTGTACAAATATTTATTTGAGACCCTGCTTTCAATTCTTTGGATATACACCAAGAAGTGGAGTTGCTGGATCATATGTTAATTCTATTTTTAAATTTTCTGAGGAACCTCCACACTCTGTTCCATAGTGGTGGAACCATTTTATGATCCCACTGATAATCCACAAGTGTTCCAGATTCTCCACATCTTCACTGACACATCTCTTTTTTTGATAGTAGCTCTTCTAATGGGTAGGAGGTTGTATCTAACTATAGTTTTGTTTTGCATTTCCCTAATGATTAGTGATGTTGAGTATCTTTTCATGTACTTATTGACCATTTGTATATCTTCTTTGGAGAAATGTCTATTCAGGTCTTTTGCCCATTTTTGAATCAGGCTGTTTGGGTCTTTAAAGTTGAGTTTTAGGAGTTCTCTATATGTTTTGGATATTGATCCCTTATCATATCTATGATTAAAAATATTTTCCCCCATTCTGTGGGTTGCGTTTCTACTCTTTTAATAGTGTTTTTTGATGTACAATTTAAAATTTTTTTCATGAAGTTCAGTTTGTCTATTTTTTCTTTCATTATCCATGCTTTTGGTATCAGATATATCCATGAAATCATTGACAAATGAAATGTCGTGAAGCTTTTATCCTGTTTTTTAAGAGTTTCATTGTTCTAGGTCTTACGTTTACGCCTTTGAAACAGTTTGAGTTAGTTTTTATATCTTAGATAAGGGTCCAGTTTCATTATTTTTGCATGTGGATATCCAGTTTTCCCAGCATAATTTGAATGGTATTGGCACACTAGTCAAAAATCATTTGATCATTTGTGTGAGGGTTTATTTCTGGCTTCTCTTACTCTATTCCATTCAGCTGTATGTCTGTCCTTATGCCAACACCACACTGTTTTGATGACTGTAACTTTGAAATCAGGCATTGCATTGAACCTGCTTTGGGTAATACTGACCTTTTGATAACATTATCTTCTAATCCATGAACATGAGATGCGTTTCCATTTATTTATGTCTTCTTTATTTTCTTTCATTGATGTTTTGTACTTTTCATTGGACAAGTCTTTTACCTTCTTGATTACGGTAATTCTCGTGTACTATATTCTTTTTTGATGGCATTGCAAGTGAAATTGTTGTTGTAATTTCCTTTACAGATTGTTCATTGTTGAGGTGTAGAAATGCATCTGATTTTCATGTGATGACTTGATGTCCCCCTCCTTTGCTGAATTCATTTATTAGTTCTGCCACGGTTTTTTTTTTTTTTGTAGAATCTTTAGGGTTTATACATATAAGATTATTCCACCTGGAAGCAGATAATTTACTTCTTCCTTTCCAATTTGGATGCCTTTTGTTTCTTTTTCTTGCCTAATTGCTATACCTAGAATTTTCAGTATTATGTTGAGTTGAAGTGGTGAAAGCTGCATTCTTGTTCCTGATCTTACAGGAAAAGCTTTCAGTCTTTGACTGTGGATTATGATGTTTGCAGTGGGTTAATCACATATAGTTTTTACTATGTGAGGTAGTTCCTTTCTGTTCCTAGTTTTTTTAGTGTTTCGATTTTTCTTTTTAAATGAAAAGGTGTTGAATTTTGTCAAATGCTTTTTCTGCACCAGTTAAGATGGTTATGTTTTTTTTTTTCCTTCATTCTGTTAAAGTGGTCTATTTCATTGATTGAATTTCCTATGCTGAACTACAGGAGTAAATCTCATTTGGTCATGATGTATAATCCTTTTAATATACTGCTTAATTTGATTTGCTGCTGTTTTATTCAGGATTTTTACATCAGTGTTTATAAGCAATATTGGTCTATAGCTTTCTTGTAGTGTCTTTGTCTGGCTTTGGTATCAGGTTAATGCCAGCCTAATAGATTGAGTTACAAAGTGTTTGCTCCTCTTCAATTTTTTTGGGAAAGGTTGAGGATTGGTATTAGTTCTTCTTTATGTTTGGTAGAATTCAACATTGAGGCCATCAGGTCCAAAGTGTTTCTGTATTGGGAGATTTTTGCTTACTGATTCAATCTCCTCACTAGTTTTAGGTCTATTCTGTTTTGGGGTTTTTTTTTTTGTTTGTTTCTTCATGATTTAATCTTTGGTTCTAGAAATCTGGCCATTTCAAGTAGGTTATCCGATTTATTATTGTACATTTGTTCATAGTACTCTCAATGCTTTTTATTTTTACAGAAACCCCCTTTCATTTGGAATTTCAAAGGAATGCCCCCCCTTTCATTTCTGATTTTAGTATTTGAGCCATCACTTTTTTTTCAGTCCACCTAGCTAAAGGCTTGTCAATTTCATTTTTGTTTCGAAGAGCCAATTTTTTGTTTCATTGATTTTCCCGTTTCTTAATGTCTATTTCATCGATCTCTGCTCTAATCTTTATCATTTCCTTCCCTCTGCTAGCTTTGGGTTTAGTTCATTCTTTTTCTAGTTTCTTAAGTTTTACCACTAGGTTGTTGATGTGAGATCCTTCTTGTTTTTTACATGTAAGTGTTTATAGCTAGAAGTGTCCTTAGCACTCCATTTGCTGTGTCCTCTAAGTTTTGATATGTTGTGTTTTCATTTTTATTGGTCTTTAAATATTTTCTTATTTCCTTTGTGATTTCTTCTTTATTATTGGTTATTTTTAAATGTGCTGTTTAATTTCACAATTTCATGAATTTTTTAGTTTTCCTTCTGTTACTGATTTCTAACTTCATCTCACTGTGGGTGGAGAAAATACTTTGTAGAATACCTGTGTTTTAAAATCCGCTGAAACTTAATTTGTTGCCCAATATATCATCTGATCTATCCTGGAAAATGTACCATCTGCACTTTACAATAATTTGTTTTCTCTTGTGTAGAGTGTTCTGTATATTTTGTTAAAGTTAATTGTGTATTGTGTTGTTTAAGTTCTTTATTGCTTACTTATGATCTACCTGGTGCTTCTTTCCATCATTCTAAGTGGGGAAT